ATGGAAGACGACCAATCGGATGTGACTAACTCTAACTTGATGACGATGTCAGCAGATGACAGATCGAATGTAAATATTGAACATTATGATGGAAACGTATGGAAGGAGGTTAAGAACAGAAGACACAGACATACTAATGTGTGGAGAAGAACTAATAATAACAAAGAAAATAATGAAAGCAATGTGACTTCTCACCCGAAGCCAAAAAGTGTGGAATCACCAAATGTTGTATTGGGAACTGCTAAATCTACATCATCTCTTAAAGTGGCGGAAAAATATGATGGTTTTTCATCTCTAGACTAGGGTTGGAGGTTACTGACAAACATATTACGGAACATATAAAAAGTGTATATGAAGTAGAGACAGTATGTTATGAAATAAAACCTAAATTTCTAGGACACTACAAATCATTCAAGGTAGGTATTCCTGCTAACAAAAACTACAACTTGCTAAATGCTGAAATTTGGCCTGATGGTGTTCTGATTAGTAAATTTAGAAATAAACAAAGGATGGGAGGTTTGGCATCTTCCTTCCATAGGCAATCTGAACAATCTTCTTTTTTAGGAAGGAAACGCTCGTAGAACCCTATACAAGGTCAAGTCCCAATAACTCCTCAATTAGGTCAAATATATTTGATTGCAGCCTAGAGGCTGGTAACACAAGAGCTACACCTGACTTCAATGAAATTCTGGGGCCTAGGCCTAATACATTTAAGACTTTTAGGCTATTATCAGTTAATATTCAAGGCTTAAGCAATAAAATTCTAGAGGTTGAGCAGTTTCTTACTGAATGTGATATTAATGTTGCTTGCTTCTGTGAGCACTTTCTAAGAGAAGATGAGGTGAATTATTGCTTACCGACGGGTTATCAACTTGCTAATAGTTTTTGCCGTACTCGCCTAAGTCGTGGTGGAGTTAGCATAATAACCAAGAATGATTTGACCGTGAAGAAGATTGATTTAAATAATTTTTGTTATGAACAGGACTTTGAAGCAACAGCTGTTGAAATTAAATATTTTAATGCTATTGTGGTGTCTGTCTATCGGTCTCCAAATGGTAAGACGGATCGGTTTCTGCAGTTGCTTGAAGAAATGCTAATTTTCCTTATAAGTAGGGGTAAGATGGTTAAATTAATAATATGTGGTGACTTTAATGCAGAATTTGATGTAACTACTACCAGGCCTAGTGTAACAAGTTTTAAAAACACATTGCGTCAGTTCAATGTTTATTGTGCCAATACTTTACCGACGAGGGGTTCTGCTTGTTTGGACAACTTACTTACCAATATTTCATCCACAGATTTTACTATAAAAGTTGTTAAACCTCTGCTCGGTGATCATGATGCTATTATTTTTGAAAGTCTAGCTTCAATAGAGAACATCTTGCTGGCTCCTGATATTTTGTATACCAGAAGAATAACGACTGCGAAGATGGACAACTTTTGCAATAACCTGAGCCAGGTATGCTGGAATTTCGTCTATGACCCGTGTTTATCCACTGAAGAATGCTTTGACCTCTTCTGGGACTGTTTTTTATCAAATTTTAATTTATGTTTCCCCCTGACTAAAACAAAACTACAAGGATCCATAAGAAAGAAGAAGGAACCAGGTAAATGGTATACACCCGAACTAGCTGAAATGAAAAAGTTGATAATATTTTATCATGACTTGTATAAGACCAGTGGGGACATAAATTTCCTAACCTTATCCAAGACTCTGAGGGGCAGATACCGCACCGCTCTTTGTGATGCTAAGAAGAAGAAGAATGAAGAACTTATTGACATGTCTGCTAACAAGTGTAAAACGGCATGGTCGGTGATAAATTCAGCAGCTGGGAGGTCCACGCAGAAGAACATGGCTGATGTGTCTCCAGACGACTACAGTACCTACTTCTCTGCAGTGGTTGAAGATATCTGTGAAAACATCGAAGTGTCCGAGTTGAGTGCTAATCTGATGGTGAAAAAAGTCCTTGTCCTGATTTAAATTTTAAATTTTCCAAAGTGTCTGAAAGTGAGGTCTTAAGTGTGGCTTTGTCTTTAAAAAATTCTCAAACAAGAGATATATATGGTTTAAATAGTAATTTAATTAAGGCTGTGATTATGTTAATTTTAAGTCCACTTACCTTTTGTATTAATAGATGTCTTGAAGATGGTGTTTTTCCCTCCTTTATGAAACTCTCCAGGGTAGTTCCAGTATACAAAAAAGGGGAGAAAAATTTACCCAGTAGTTACCGCCCTATATCCTGCATCCCTACAATGGCTAAGATATTGGAAAAAATTTTAAAAAAGCAGGTATGTACCTACTTTGAATGTCTCAACTTGTTTAGCAGTAGTCAATTTGCATATAGGCTAGGTCTGTCATCAACACTGGCTGTAGATAGTATTGTAAATAAGATCTTAAATGCTTTAGAAGATAGGTGTTTTGCTCAGATCACATTATGTGATCTGAGTAAAGCTTTTGATTGTGTTCAACATAGTATCCTCTTGGACAAACTATCTCATTACGGTTTTCATGACAGTGAATTAAATATGTTTGTGTCTTACCTTAAAGATAGAAAACAGGTAGTAGAAGTAAATAGTCAGAGATCGCAGGTCACTGAGGTCAAATATGGAGTCCCACAAGGGTCGATAATGGGGCCTATCTTATTTTTAATTTTGATGAATGATTTGTCTTTCAATGTTCCTAGTAGTAGTAGTGTTTGTATTTATGCTGACGACACCACTTTGTTCAGTAGTCATTTGGATTTAGAAAAATTGCAATGTTTAAACGAACAGGCTCTAAATGAAGCAACCAAATGGTTTACCTCTAATGGTTTAAAGCTGAACACCGACAAAACTGATTGTTTATTAATCTCTACTCATGATAATGTTAGCTATAACTATGTAAAATTACTGGGTATACACATTGATAGTAGGTTATCTTGGCAGCAGCATATAGACTCTATTTGTGCTCGATTATCCAGAGTGGTTTGCCTACTTAGTAATTTAAGAAATCATGTAACTGACACTTATCTAAAATTAGCCTACTTTGCATTCTTTGAAAGCATTATTAGATATGGCATTGTTATTTGGGGAAATGGAGTAGGAATTACAGATGTTTTGAAAGTACAAAAGAAGGCGATAAGGATTGTGACTGGTAGTAGAAAACGAGACCATTGTAAGCCATTGTTTGTAAAATTAGATATATTAACTGTAATTAGTCTGTACATATATGAAGTGTCTATTTTTGTTAAAAAAAAACTACCACAAATATGTAATTAGAGATAGTGTCCATAGTTACCAAACAAGAAATAGAGGTACATTAGATTTAGATAGAGTAAGGCTGTCAAGAACTCAGAATTACCATACCTACTTGGGTCTTAAAATATTTAATAAGTTTCCTGTTGAATTCAGCTCTTTGCCTTTAAATGTTTTCTCTGACAAACTGTTAAAGTGGTGTAAAATCAATCCAATGTACAAAATAGATGATTTTTTTGATGTTAAATTCAAAAACAAGGACCTAGATTTTAAAAAGTAACCTTTATTTATATATTCTGTTTGACGAAATCTATTGTAATTTTGTAATTACTGAACGATGAATAAATTGTCTATTGTCTATTGTCTATTGTCTATCATCGGCGAAAAACAGACATTCAGCATCAGGGATGATTCTATCAATGATATCGTTTAATAAGATACAGAAGAGAAACGGATCAAGATGAGAACCTTGAGGTATAATTGCCCAACAACTCATCTTTGTTCAGAACACATGTAGGGCATTTTTGCTAATTTTGGGCTGATGGGAGGAGGATGATTAACTGTGAGTATGCCTATGAATATTTTGACAATAGACAATAGATTTTATTCCTTTAAGCATAGGCTACAGATAATGCAATAGGACAAGTAAAGGAATGGACATGATAACTTAAGATTCTGTGAAGATCAAGCTAAATTCAAGAAAATGCTGAAGATGTTTCTATTAAATAAAGCCTATTATTCAGTAGAAGAATTCCTTGATGAGTGAAGGCTGACAACTACCAATGACGACCACGGCTGAAAAGCTTCCAGTGGGATAAATACAAGTATGCAAGTAAAGTAAGTAAGATAGGCTACATAGAGTTGAGACACATAAAACAAAATAAGAACGGTGACAAAAAATAAAATACAGTACCGTAAGTTTAAGTCACTTTCAGAACAAAGCGGATCACAAATTTCAGACCATGATGTGCAGAAAATGGGACTGAAAAATGCTTGACAGAAAGTGGCCAAGTTAAAATCTTTTACATTAATAAGCTACCGGTACTTAACTTAGGCCTAGGAGCCTTAAAGTGTGGGGTGGGTTCATTAAGTTAAATGATTCCACGTTTAGTCCATGCCAAGTTGGCCTAGCAAAATGTGGAAATGGCCTAGTTATGAATACAAAATACAATGTCTATAGATTAAAAAATAAAATTTCATTTTTATATGTTCAATGAAAATGAAATGATTTTTATGTTTGATGGAGGATGGATGCTTCCTCACTCAATCTCCATATGTAGGATATGATAAGTAAATTAGGATGTATAGTTTTAACAATTCTTTACTTACCTACCATTTCTAAGTTGCTAAGTTATCTTAAGTTAGCTAAAATAAATTTTTAATAAACTCAGCGATAACCGGATGAATTGGAGAAGATTTAGTGACTTACCGTAGGCTACTAAGAATTAGAGAAGAGTGAGGACTACGAAAGTACTGGTAAGCCCAATACTACACCTGCTAAGCCCCCCCCCCCCCCTCAGATGATAATGTACTGTAATAGGTTTTGCCTAAATTACCTTATTTCCGGTTCTTCATCTTATACCCCATGGGAGATTGATGGTGTCATTTTAAACATAAAATCATTTACGTATGTATACAAATTACAATTAAATTACATAGGTAATAAATTACGATAACACATAAAACTAACAGGCCTAACTTACCAATAGGTACTTCACAAGGGTAATTTAAACTCCCTTTCTCCTCAATTATTTTTTAATACTTACTTCATATGTTCAACTGTGTATTTTGGTGGATTCCCCTCTTGACATGAAATTGGTATTGCAGCCATCAACTGTCTCCATCCATCACCACTCTCGAGAATTTGACATAGTTTAAAAGTTGAGCCTGCAGGTAATTTTCTTATTTCCACATCTTCATTGCTCACTTTAGTCATTTTCAAGGTTGGATACAAAAACCAAGACCAAGATATTTACAGAATGGCCAAGCCCTGTTCAATAATAGATGAATTAAAACTAGCCTATGAATAGGGAAATATAAAATAAGCAGTAAATGAATAACTTTTTGGTTTTTAACAAGTTAATGTTGCAGTTTGGTTGGTTTAATTAATTCTGAAGTTAAATTTCATCAAAGTAAGTTAAAGGACATATCATATAGATAATAATATGAAGTGGTTGAGATAATTAATTGTAAAACAGTAACTTAGGCTTTAGTAAAAGAAAAGGTTTTTGGGCTTGCATAACCTAAAATTCTAGCCTAAAACTCGCGAGAAAAACTTTTGAAGTAGGCACTGAGGTAATAAAAGGACACTATGGTAGAAACTAAAACAATTTAAGATAAATGTACAGAACTCTGACGATTAAGCATAGGAATCTCCACTCAAACTTGTTTTTGGTGAGTATTGTTGAGTTAGTTTGGGATAAACTTCAATGCCAATGCAATCTTTCTTTATAAATAACACTTCTTTATAATCTCAATATGAAAACTCATAAGGTTAACATGGGAAACTCCAGAGCCACTGGGGCGGAGCCCAAGAGTCCGATCAGAATAAAAACAGCTTAGTTTTCCTATTTAATGCCTAAAGAATCAGTGAACCAAATTTCAGCCTCCTAGGTAAATGGGAAGTGGGAGAATTAGTGATGAGTGAGTGAGTGAGTGAGTCAGTCAGTGAGGGCTTTGCCTTTTATATATATAGATAACCAATTTAAATTTTTGATAATGCCTGTATTTTAAAGTAACTCAAAGTTTTGATGGTTACAAAATAACGACGTGACGTAAATAAATGTAAACAAAACAAAGAATCATAGCATTATTATGTAAAAAAATCAAGCCACGGCCTAAACACAGTACAAAGGAAAAATCTGGATTATGACAACTAATCAAATGATACAGAGAAAGTCTTACATTTAAGTAGCAATTTGGAAACGTGATCGTATAGGCATAGATAAGGTATAGGTATGTCATAGATAAAACATACTTTCTTATGTACAGTATTTAACCATGGTATTTAACAGATTTGGGGTACACTTCCATATCTGTTCCTGTTGGCACAAACAACCGAATGCAAATATCGGTCGATATATCGAATAAAAAAATCTTACATAATTAATTAAACGATATATCGATTGATATTTTCATTCGGTTGTTTGTGCCAACAGATATTATGGAAGTGTACCCCATCGATGTATAATAAATCGATGGTGTACCCGTACCCCAGATTTGGTTCTCTTTCTCGAAACGCTATAAAGAGCACATACAGTATAAAAGAAGACCACCTCAAAACTTAACCTTTGCTGAACATCACTAGTTTGATATCAGCATAATAACAGCAGCATTGATGAAAACATGGAAATTTTACATACGTCACAAGATAAGTTTGAAATATTAATTAACCCTGGAAGAATTCGATATAATATATATTATATAGAGCCGTAAAATCAGACAAGGATAGTGTTTTAAATGGTCAACTTTATTTTAATTATTTAATTTAAATATCATCTACAACACCACAGTAAAATTACTGAAGAGGGGAAGGGAGGGCAGAGACAATGGAACGAGGGAGTGATAAGGGAATGCGTGTGATACCAGAACAGCTGTGTATCCTACAGTGTGGACTCAACTTCCGCATTACCAACACCGGTCTACTTGTCATGTTTACAATTTTATTTTATCGTCCGTATTTGTGTGTGCACTATGTGTTTGTGTACGTGTATGTGTAGGCTATAAAACTGTTAATCCTGACGACCTTCATGTGAAGTAACCATCCTTGTACACACCTGATGATGACCTCTTACCAGGTCGAAACTAGTTGTGGAATACAACAATTGAATTGCCAGAATCAGGTATTACCACAATTTTATTAGTTATCCTTGCAATCCCCAGGCTATTCATACTACGAAGTTAGAAGCAGCTCAAGCAAGATCAGCCTTTCAGTTTACATCAAGGATAAAATTACCTATGCAAAACTATAGAGATAAGATGTAACTTAAGAGATATACATTTAAAAAGTTAGTGGGAAGTCTAAAGCGCTGCCATATACATTCACATTCACACCATCCATTATCACAAAAGCATACGATTGTTTTGTAAATGGATTGTTGCCATCCCAATTAGCGAGGATTTCAATGAAGAAATAAACATTATTAAGCCTATCATATTGGGACTACAATTAAGGCGTAGATATTGTTGGGTTTTGACTGCCCCTTTGTAACATACTATAAAACACGGGAACGAACTATGATATAAAAACTTAAAACTTATTGAAACCACTGTCTTTTCATACGTAAAGTAAACTTCTAGTATGGGCATAGGAATTAACTTTTTTTAGGGGTGCGGTAATTATCTTGTTCCAGGGGTCAGAGGAAATTACCACCTAAAAAAAAGTTTACACAAATTGCTTAAAAATAAAATGTTGGCTGTATAAAAGCAATTCAACAATTCAAATATTAAATTTACAATACTCTGTAGGGTTTCAAACACACAACATTTGTAGCTATAAACATATACAGGGTGACAATTAAGTCTTAGGACGACTTTATAACTTTTAAACGACAAACGATATCACAACCACATTTGGTATACCGTTACTGGAAATTTTCTGTGTACATGGTGGTCGGATATCACCTTTGGGGGACGGCCCGTCGGGGGTCAGAAGAAAATCTTTAATGACAGCCTATGTTGAGTTGTACATCATTTTAAAGGTCTACTTCAACCGAAAACAATGCCGCAAACCGGACTTCAAAAGGTTGATCCAGTCGGAAGAAATCACGTTTCAAAGTTTAAAAATGAAAAATACCATTATTACGTAAGAAATAATCTTACTCTTTCCTTTCGGCCGTCTGACAATGTGCTAAGTGTAATCAGGAAAACCTGCTGTATTAAGAAGTACAATGAAAAGTGAAAGCAGTGCCTCTAGGTCAGGGTTTCCCATCCACTGGACTTCCCCCTTAATGGCTTTTATCTGTCTAACAGTTCAATTATCAGTACCACTCAAGCTACAGTAGTTTTTGCAGCCATATCCTGTTACTAACTTATAAGATTATAAGTTTTAAAAGATGCCGCTTAGTGAGCGTGAAAGAATTACACTCTTAATGATGCGCGGCTGGGGTGATAATGCAAGACCGTTTGCAGAAGTCACACAATTATTCAATGCTACTTTTCCTGATAGAGCTCCTATTTCTAAATCCACAGCACAGTACACAGTTGCTCGCTTTGTAGACACTGGTACTGTTAAGGATCGTGCCAGATCTGGACGACCAAGTACTGTGAAAGACGAAGACGGCTCATTAGACATTCTTCAGTCTTTCGTTGAAAATCCAAAACAATCAGTTAGATCAGCAGCACAATCTCATGGAATAAATCGTGAATCAGTTCGCAAAGTATTAAAGAAGTCTGGTTTCAAGGCATACCGGGTTACCCTGTTGCAGGAACTAACCGAAGATGATTTTGATCACCGGATGGAATTCAGTGAAATTATGATGAATAGAATTGACCAAAGACAAATACTTTTGGACGATATTGTATTCTCAGATGAGTCGACTTTTATGTTGAATGGCCATGTTAACAGGCATAACTGCCGGTATTGGGATAATGTTAACCCACACTGGATGAGTGAGTGTCACACACAACACCCCCAAAAAGTAAACGTATGGGCAGGTATCGTACGTAATTCAATTATAGGACCATTTTTCATCGATGGAAATTTAAATGCCAACAAGTATCAGGATATGCTCCAAAATGAGATTGTTCCTGCTTTACAAGCTACTCTGGGCGCTGACTTCCAATCATGTTTTTTCCAACAAGACGGAGCACCGCCACACTATGGTGTTCAGGTAAGGCAATACTTAGATGCAGTATTCCCACACCGGTGGATTGGAAGACGAGGTGCGATTGAGTGGCCGGCTCGTTCCCCTGACCTAACTCCGCTTGACTACTTCCTATGGGGCTATATCAAGGACAAAGTGTATCGAACTCAGCCTACAGATCTGAACGAACTGAGACATAGGATATCACATGAAGCTCAAGCTATTCCACGAGAATACATACAAAATGCAGTAGCCGCCTTTTATAACCGGTTAGCATATTGCCAGACGACCGATGGTGGACATTTTGAACACCTACTTTAAAAGACTTTCTGTAAGTATTACCCTTAACTTCTATTAGCTACAGTAATAATGGTATTAAACATTTTTTAAACTTTGAAACGCGATTTCTTCCGACTGGATCAACCTTTTGAAGTCCGGTTTGCGGCATTGTTTTCGGTTGAAGTAGACCTTTAAAATGATGTACAACTCAACATAGGCTGTCATTAAAGATTTTCTTCTGACCCCCGACGGGCCGTCCCCCAAAGGTGATATCCGACCACCATGTACACAGAAAAGTAGCTTACAATTTCCAGTAACGGTATATCAAATGTCGTTGTGATATCGTTTGTCGTTTAAAAGTTATAAAGTCGTCCTAAGACTTAATTGTCACCCTGTATGTTTATAGCTACAAATGTTGCGTGTTTGAAACCCTACAGAGATTGTAAATTTAATATTTGAATTGTTCAGGGGTTTGTAAATAAATAAATAAAAGGGAAGAGTATATCTACCAGTGGCCCTAACTTGTTTTAATACAGTGGAGTCTTGATAATCCGATCTTTGGTTACCTGCGGACGATTGAATACTGTTCCTGTGAAATAACGTAAAAATATGTGTGGGATGTGGGGTACCGTAGCAGGTACAAAAAGACAACCCCATTTGCTACATTTCTGATTATTCTTGCTATGGTAAACTACTCCAAACTGCTCCATAGGTAGATATAATTGATATATTTTAATAAAAATACTGCAAAGTATTTAAAAGTACCACTAATTATCAAGAAAATTAAATATTTCAAATACAGAAATACAGGAAAAAATTACAAAAAAATTTATACAGTACCTAACTACAAAAAATTATACCTAACTAAAAAAATTTAAATAAAAAATGCAGAAAAAATAAGTAAAGTACATGCATACCTACCAATAAAAATATGTAATAATGTGTAATGTTGAACAAATTTTAACCTATTTCAAGAGGTTCTAACCCGCGAATTCACGGGTGTACAGAAGACACCATTAAATTAATTTAATCAACTTTGACTTAATATTTCATTTAAAGGTCCCAAGTTCGAGAAATTGTCATCTGAAAGGATGGTAAAAGCAGTGGAACCTTCATACCTTATGTCCTAAAGTGTCCGAGGTCGGTACGGTACCTGAACTCGCCGCTCTCTTTCACAACGTCTTTAATATTTTAATACTTTTCAATGAAATGGCGACCTGTTAAAGATCGGTGACAACCTCTTGGAACGAACAACATACATGGTTTGTTAATCACATATTCATTGTGTTTTGAACACCTTTAATCACTCACTTGTAACAAACAGCTAGAAATAGCTTCACTGTCAATTCACCACACCTCTCAAAGAACATAAAAGTACCAAGTAAACAAAAATGTAAACAAACAAACTATATTGTCAAATGCATTGGCCAGCTGTTTTGTTCACCAAATTAATCGAAAAACGTTAACTTCCAAAACATTATAGAAGGCGTATAGCCCCTTGGAAATCAGCCTGTGGGGCAGAGCCCTTAGGGAGTTCATCTAAATCAATACTTTTCGGCAAATCTACACACTATAAGTTTCATTTTGATATGCCATATGCCTATATATTTTTATTTGGTAAATGACCTTACATAAAATTTGATTGTATCACTTTACTTTAATAATATAATAGATTTTCAGAAATAGTATATAAAGGTAAAAAATCCACTTAAGACATACATACACAATTATGTATGTGTTTTGAAGCTAAGTAAAAGTATAAATTAAACTTAATACTTTTATGTAGGCTACTTTTTAAAGATTTTAAAACTGAATACACTTTATCAACGAGTTTCTCTTTTTAAACTGGGTTTCCTTGTCCCAGTTCAAACCTGCTTCCTCCACTGGTGTAAAGTTATTACTTCTGTTATCAGTATGAAGTCATGTGGCACATGAATGGCAAACTTGTAGGTACCGGCTGACACTATATTCTGGTTTTCTCATTAATAAGCATTATTCTTAATGGTCAGTTAATATTTTTCTATTGATAAAACAAACACACTGTCATACTGAGTGGAGTATTATAGAGTAAATAAATTGTGGTCATGCTAATATTACAAAGATTTATATAGCATCAAGTACTATATTATTACAAACAATTTTGCATTTTAATTTATAAATTAAAAACTGTTATTTTTACTTTATGGCAAATCATTAGTGTCCTTTGGACAGAATGACAAGCAAAAACTACTGAAACACTTTTTTAACAATTCCAAAAAATTTGTAACAGTAAAAGAATGTTTATTTTTGTTAATGAAAAAGCATGTAAAATAAGTAGTAATAATTTTTTGTGAAACAAGTCTAAATAAAATCTAATAGGTGGATCAGTTCTTAAAACTATTGACCAGTTTGTTGTTTTTCCTTAATTATGCTATCCCATAACTACTCCAAATTCCTAGAGGTTATAAACTGTTATGGAAATTCACTAAACTTCCTCCTATATGAACTTTCACCTCCAAAGGAGAGTCAGTTTGATAGTGATGTGTGAGTCTGCTTTGTTATCAATTCTTAGAACTCATGAAGATTGTTCCAAGTGAATTATTAACTTTTTCATCAAGTCTTCCATTATAAAACACAATATGGGGTGATCATTTGGAGCAAAACAGCTGACTCTACAAGGTACGTTTAGCATACTCCATTCTACCTTCATTGTTGGATATACATAATCAACGATTCTACACTCATTATATTCAGTCATATTTTCCTCACAGTATATACATTTTAGTGAATTTCCCATATGAGGAATGAGCTACAGTCTACTCTTGGTAATTTACACACTCGATAAATTTAAAACTTTCGATAATTAAAAGTAAAAGCTCAGTCCCTCTCTTAATATTTCAAAGTATTACACCATGCATTTTGATACACTCATTATTTAAAAGTCCAAGCAGAGAGCAGGCTGATTAGGAACACACAGTAATTTGTTCACCAGCAAAACACTCTATAAATTCACACCCTGAAATCATTAAATTTGGTAATTTCTTTTTCAATTACAGGACTGTTATTTTTAAGTTTGAACAGTTTTAGCAATTTAAAAAAATAAAAGACTTTTTGTTGATTTTTTTATTATTTGGACGAATGCTATGTGGAAATTATGTACAACTAGCTGTTACCCACGGGCTTCACCCCGTTTGACTTCATGGTGGACCTTCCACCATGATTTGACTTCATAACTATTAATAAAAATATTGATTGGTTAAGCGGAAATAAACAAAACAGAATACTGTACAGTAATACAAACAAATAATCACACCTGATTTTAATAAGGTAATAAATTAAAAGAATAACAAACAAATAAGTATAGCTGAGGTATTTTTAATATTAGGTATAGGGAAAGTTCCCTTTAGAAAGGAATTACGACCTTAAAGGGAAATTTATAAAGTAATGGATAGTTTTGCACAAGGTTTCTCGTCATGACGAACATTAAGTGCGGTATATGGTTTATGGGTGTGTGACTTTTAGTTTTCTCAAAAGTTCGTGGGTACTTTGGGATTTATATATGGATTATTTTTGTTTGGTTTTAAAATGTAGCATTTAATTCATTTTAATAAAATGGATACAAATGCCTTAATTTTATGATTTAATGACATTGTATTGTAATAAAATTAATGGATAGGTACTAACAAATTTTCTCACCAAAACATGCAAACAAAACTTATTACCTATATATTAAATTTACACAACCATGACTTAAATAATAATATACTGGTACCTACTACAAATAAACTTAAAATCTAAAAAAATCACTTGACCTTGTTATTTTTACAGATCATTATTAGTATATATCATTAGATTAAATAGATAGCCTACTTTTCCATCAGTAGGGTTCAGTTGTAAATTTTAGAGGATTTGTTATTCAGAATAGATAAAATTTGAAAAAATCACTTTAATGCATATTTAAGTGAGTGTATAAATTGGATCATATTTGTTAAAAGCGTGAAGGAATAAAAGTGGTCTCATGGACGTTTTATCTTCAAATGATAATCCCAGCTTTTCTCAGTGTCAGAGTAGTTAAAACTTCCATAGTTAACTCTAAGCTGTATCTCAAAAGGCAATGTTTACAGTCTGAGTTTAATATAATTTTAGTAGTTTTTTTCACTATTTATTCTTAAATAAAAGTAAAATATAATATACCATAACTGTATGAGGTAAGTGAAAGTTCTACAACAACTTTATTTTTTAAGTATAGGTAAATTTTGATTATTTAAAATGGTGCATTATTTAATACTTAATACTTACTTAACCCTTTGGGTACCAGAAATTTATTTTGGTACTTTCCAAAAAGTGCCAACGTTTTTTACTAGGTATATCCGAAAAGTGCCAGGCTTGCTGCGGGGACGTAGTGCGCAAGAATAAAAATTGGTACAAGTATAAATTTTAATCCCAAAAGTGCCAATGAACATTATATTGTGCCATGATCGTATGAGGAATCGAATGAAATATTCGTTCTTTTAAAATAATAACCGAGTAAACCAATTTGTACCCATTAAAACTCACATAGTTGTAAGTCGGCCAGCCCGATATATCTTTGCAATGAATTTTAGGGTAAGACTACCAACGACGATATATTGTTGTAAAGTATTTTTTGGATGTTCCGTGCCAAACGATATATTGTTGCGTGGCACTCAAAGGGTTAATATTTGAATTAGGTTTCAAATGAGAAACACAAAATAGCAAATAGGCTAATGGAAAATGTTGGGAACAAGAATATTGGCTGATGGCAGGAAATATTTGCTAAAATCGGCCTTAGACAGTTAATAATTTTCGATATTTAAAATTTGTTTGGAATCATGAAAGTGAAATTAACCTATTAGGACCTGTGTTTGAAGTTGAATATTTATTAATATATACAGTTATGCTTTGATCATTTTAGGATGTTTTGACAAGACATAGATTTTCCAACAGCCGCAATAATAAGATTAACCTGACAACATGTGGCTAAAGATGGACAAAGAGCTTGTTTGTATTCTTGGGCTGAGTTTAAGTTTCTTCTTCTTGTTTGCTGCCGACTTCACAATGGTCAACATGCAGGTAAAAATCATAAATATTTTGTTTATCAAAGTAAAATATTTGTGTTTAATCGTTCAATCAAAACATAACATCTGTTTGACACAAATATTTGAAAAATACCATATTTTGAGTGGCATGAAAATGAATACATGCAGGGAGACAAAAATCTCCTGGGACGATTTAATATTTATAAAAATAATAAAGATAGTGCTACAACTCTATAGTCCAGGACCTGACTAGGGTTCTGTGTGCATGTCGTGTATAGAGAATTTTGCTTTTGCATTTCAATATAGGTGTCTTAGGAAGTGTTTTCCACTCGGGTGTCAAGTTCGCACCTGGTACGTTTTCGAGCTATGACGTCATCAAAATGGCGGCCATTGATTTTTTTAAATCGTATATTTCGCAAACTATTTGTCGGATCGGAATGAATTTTTTTTTGTTTGAAAGATAATTTTAAATGCTACCTGTTTTACATTTACACATTTGTTGTTTGTTTAGTACATTCTTCGTAATTTTGCAAAAACCTGTATTTTTAAATATTTTTGAGTTATTTTTGTTTGTAACGTTTTATTGATACAATTTATCAAAAACCACCAATGAAAAAAGTTGTAGAACGTTTAAAAATCTTTACAAAAATACCAAATTCGATATGTTTTACTCAAAAGGTTACGTCAAGAAACTAGATAAATCTCATAAAAACACCAATTTTGGCGCAAAAACGCCTATTAGTCCGGCATCTAGGGCAGTTCGCAAGTCTTATAAAGACAGTTTCGCCATTCAATGTTGATGTATGTGTCTAAATAAGTGTTTTCAACTTGGGTGTCACGTCTGCACCCACTGCAGTTTCCGGTTATGACGTCATTAAAATGGCGGAAAGGGCTATATTAAAAATAACGATATTTTACATACCATGTATCGAATCGGAATAAACTTTTTTTTGTTTGAAAGATAAGTTTACATGCTATCTTTCTTACATTTGCACTTTTGTTTTATGTTTAGTACATTTTTCGTAATTTTGCAAAAACCTATATTTTAAAACATTTTTGTGTTATTTTTGTCGATAACGTTTTATTGATACAATATATCAGAAATAATTTAAAGACAAAGTTGTAGCACGTTAAAAGAGCTTTACAAAAATACCAAATTCGATATGCTTTACTCAAAAGATCACGTCAAGAAACTAGAAAATCGTACAAAACAACTTAATTTTGCGCAAAAACGCATATAAATCCGACATCGATGGCTGTGTACGAGTCATATATAGACAGTTTTACCATTCAATGTTGATGTATGTGTCTAAAGAAGTGTTTTTAACTCGGGTGTCACGTCTGGACCCACTGCAGTTTCCGGTTATGATGTCTTTAAAATTGATTTAAAACAATTAAACATTGTTTGAGTTGTTAATTTAATGTTAATTTAATAGATTAATTGAAAATCAATCCAGGCAAATGGAAATTCGCTTAGTCGACAGGATTGCTGCACTGGAGGTATTTATATAGTGGAAACATTCCTATGGACTAATTACATTGATTTGTTGTGCTTTTATTTGCATAAAAGAGGGTAATGGTCTTATTTTAAGTAAAGTAGCTGGTGAAATCTTAACATGTAGCAATTTTAAAGACATCATAACCGAACTGCCCTAGATGCCGGACTAATAGGCGTTTTTGCGCCAAAATTGGTGTTTTTATGAGATTTATCTAGTTTCTTGACGTAACCTTTTGAGTAAAACATATCGAATTTGGTATTTTTGTAAAGATTTTTAAACGTTCTACAACTTTTTTCATTGGTGGTTTTTGATAAATTGTATCAATAAAACGTTACAAACAAAAATAACTCAAAAATATTTAAAAATACAGGTTTTTGCAAAATTACGAAGAATGTACTAAACAAACAACAAATGTGTAAATGTAAAACAGGTAGCATTTAAAATTATCTTTCAAACAAAAAAAAAATTCATTCCGATCCGACAAATAGTTTGCGAAATATACGATTTAAAAAAATCAATGGCCGCCATTTTGATGACGTCATAGCTCGAAAACGTACCAGGTGCGAACTTGACACCCGAGTGGAAAACACTTCCTAAGACACCTATATTGAAATGCAAAAGCAAAATTCTCTATACACGACATGCACACAGAACCCTAGTCAGGTCCTGGACTACTAGGCACAAAGACTGGACATAAAGATCATTTCAACACATTATTTAGTGAGTGATACGCTACCTCTACAAGGGGTTGACCCGCTAGGAGTCAGAAAACAATCGTGTAAGCATATGCAATTATGCACCTCACTCTTAGGGGGTTTGTTAGTAAAATCTAATGCTGCAAATTTGAGCTCAAAAAAACAAATGAATCAAAAATGGAAGACCATTTTTGACTCAGTTGTGCGTTTGAATTGAGGATTGTGGTGTTGTATTCTACAATAATAAAGACCTTTAGTTTGATGTGCATATCAACCTATGCATATATTTATGATTTCCTTCCGACTTCTAGGAGGTGCCCTAAGGAATTCAAGAAATTCAAGAAATCTTTCAACGGCTACCATTTTTGACTAGGTTGTCCATTTTAGTTTGGGTTTGAAGCATAGTGATTGATTTCACTAATCGTAAGTCAAACTGTCTTCAGATGTGGTGGATGGTCTCTCTTCCCGTCATGGGTACAATAAATTGAAACCAAATATTTCAATATATTTTTCTGTTAACGAATGTGTGTGTTTCTTTTGCAGAAAACAGTTACATCAAGCATAGCCAGTGAAAAAGCGGACTTCAGAATAGATGGGTACGTGATGATAGGAATCACTTACACCGTTTTTGCTGCAACACTCTGGTTTGGCTCATATGTAACTCATGCCCTTGGTCCAAAAATCACAATGGCAATTGCTGCTGTATTGTACCTGTAAGTTTATTTTTAACCTTTGTAGTTAGAATTAAAGAAAACTATTTTGTTAACAATGTAAAATTTTTAAGACTTTCTTTTATAAATGAATGTATTCTGTTAAGAAAAATTAGAATCAATAGAAAGAAACAATCATTAATGCCGCAATGGAAACCACCGTCATAATTAAATTGGAATGCACTTAAATTATATTTGAAAACAACATTATATGTCTTATGAGTATTTTTACCTTTTTTGGTAGCCTAAGGTGTCCAAAATCCTTATCTCCTGCAAAATTTGTCATCCACAGAGTTTCAAAAAGAAAAATCAATTATGAAACAAATTGCCTACAACAACGGCTACAATACAGATTTAATTGATAACATGATAAGGAAAGCCAAGTTTAAATTATCAAGGCCACAAACAGATGAGAGGACTAGTCAACCACACAAGTTCATCCCTTTCAAATATGTAAACAAAAACTCGCTTCACGTAGGTAATATTTTTAAAAAGTTTTCTTACATGCCGGGATATAAAATAAGCAAGAATATTGGTATGAAACAAAAAGAAAAACATAGTATTGACAAGGGGGTTTATCTTATTAAATGCAATGATGGAGATGATTGTGATAAAGAATATATTGGACAAACTAATAGATCTTTCAAACAACGTTTTAAGGAGCATAACGCCCGAAACCAAAAAAATCCCACGTCCAAAGTTGCCCAACACCTGAAAGAACATCCTTCCCACAATATAAGTTTTGATAAATCGCTAAATGTGCTAAAAGCCTGTGATAACGCTCAAAGGTCGAAAATATGGGAGGAGTATTTTATTTTCAAAAAGGTCACTTCAATGGGTAAACATAGCTTGTTAAATGTTAAAGAAGACTTTTCTGATAAAGTTACCTATCGTCTGTACAGTAGACTAGAGGGGGAAGAGGTTACCACGGATAACACAACAGCTGATTAAGACAAGATAAGGGAGGAATGACCAGTAGGCCTACAACCTTGTGCGGTATCGCGTGTCGTCTCCCGCTCGCTTGATGTACAGTACGTGTGTGACCATGGTTGTAAAACTGTATATAAATATGTGTTTCGTGAACTGTGTTATATGTTTTGTAAATCGTGACAACCACTTCTGTGGGCAATGTTGAAACCTGACAATGACAGCGACTGAAGATGCATTGTAATTAATGCGAAACGCGTCTCGCAGGAGATAAGGATTTTGGACACCTTAGGCTACCAAAAAAGGTAAAAATACTCATAAGAAATAGGTGTCTAGGCTAATGTCTACAAATTATATGTCTATTACATTATGCTGTCAACTAATTTTTGTCGGTCTGAGTTATAAAGGCCTTATTGTGGCATCAATACTTTGAGAAGCTTTTATGAGCAAAGAGAGAGCTCCGTTCAAAAGTTCAAGAGGTTAAGATACCTCTTACAAAGATGTAAATTAAAGTTTTAGTATTAAGCTTTTATGAGATACAGCTAGGTAGGGTATACATGTTGAGGGGCACTTTAGTATCTTGTTAGTCTAATAGGAAATAAGGATTCAAAATGGGAAAGCCAAACTTTAAGAATCAAAATGTGCTTGACTATTTTTGTTGAAGCTTCTTGCTAAATATTTACGGTAGCGTACTTGGGCAGTTATTTATACGCTTTCTTGTTCTGAAACTGTTTCAGTATTTACATCGCCTCTTACCTTTCTGAATGCTCATGGGTTATCTACATAGCCTCTGTGTCAGTGGGTATAGGCGCTGGAATACTCTGGCCTGCAGAGGGACAATATATGATTGGAAACTCTTCCAGCAAAAACACGGCAAGAAACGTTGGCATTTTCTGGCTTATCTACAGCAGTTCGTGAGTTTCAACCATTTCTCATGTTAAACGATGAATCATTTTCAGGAGTATTGAATAGTTGTATATTGTCAAAACAAATTTTGGAGATAACAGAAGTTAATAGAATATGAATTAGTACTAGATTTACCTTTGTTGAATTAGTATGTTCCAAAACCATAATATGAGTACAACTATCTAATGCTAACTATACTGAACAACTGAGAAAACAGATGTTACTTATCTGTACTCACTGAGCAACATTAGGCGAAGAAGTTGTGGCTTAATAGTACATGTAAGTACGCAAAGTCCATTACAAACAAACTACAATGTAGTACCAAACTATTTCTGAAGAAATGATTTTGAATCATTTTTCTAGTACAATAATTCCAGCACATTTATTATGGTTGGTCTTTGGTATGGTATGGATTATGGTTGATTTTTTTAAATAAAATTTTTTAAATTTTTAAGCAAAAAAAACCTTAAGTGGCATTTTTACTCTCTAGGGAGTAAAAATCATTTTTAGCTCCTGGGAGTAAAAATCAGCTGTTGTCAACTCATTTGTAAATTTCAACTGTAAACAATCGCATGAATCAAAAGTATGATTCAATCTTGTAATCGGTTGAAGTTTATTATTGCCTTATTGTAAATAGTGTGACAATTCGATAGTATAATACACTAACACAATCGCAATAATAGACAAAACGATTGAATCAAGAAATTTCTCAAATCAGACTCTTGAATACCAACAAAAATAAAGTTTACCAAACTATTTTTCAACAGGAGCATGATGGGGAACACATTTGTTTATTTTACCTTCCATGATAAAAAGCACATTGATCAAGTGACAAGAAGAACTGCCATTTCTATTTTAACAGTTATCAATATCATAGCTATTGTTGCATTCTGCCTGTTGCCAAAGCCGTTGTATGAACTCAAATCGAATGACTACGGTCCTTTCAAGACAATGAAGCAGAGTTGGAAAATATTGACGTCCTCCAGAATGATATGGCTTGTAATTACTTTCTGTTACACAGGTGAGAAAGTTTTAAACAATTTTGACTTGATTCATATCAGAGTTTCAGCTCAAGTTGTGAATTTAGAAGTGAAACTAAAGATTGTTATTACTTTTAAAATTGCTGGTTTAAATTGCAATTCTGCCGCATCGGAGGTAAGGTCAGTGATACGTTTTTTGATTTCAAGGAACATACGTAATGCTGAAGGTGATGTTCCTAATGCAATGAGTTAGACTAAAGTACAGAAATGGGTTATGAAGTGTAAAAATGGCCGTGAAATCCTTTTTTCATGGCGGGTTTCTTTGAGAAGTCTGCGTACCCACAAAAAACACAATTCCTTCCGAAATGAGCGTTTTTCACGGCCATTTTTAAGCTACCTAGTTTATTTCTTCACTCTCCACACTATCTTTACATCAAGGTCATAATCTCCAGTCACCTGGCAATTTTCGGCAGCGGATATGTTTCTTGTAATCAAATACGTATCCCTGACCTTACCTTGGACGTGGTGGGGTGGGAGATTTGATTGTTAAAAATATTTTAAAAACAGACAGCAAAGCCTGCACGACAGCTACAGAGCTGAAATTCGTGTCATTCTATTCACAAATGATACCAGTAAATGGCGATGAGCCTTGTTGCAGCGTACAAGCCAAGTTAGAAATTAGTGTGTGAAACCGGCCCTTACTTCTAAAATCCGCCCTCGTATGGAGCTTTATGATTGAGTTTTTATTTTTCATTTCAAGATGACAAAAACATGCAGAAAACATGATATCTAGATAATGAGCATTATCTTAGTTTGGTTTTATATTGCATTTGTCGAATATAATTTGAGGTTTTTAACATTTTTTTTTATTAACATTTTTTTAAACATAATATTAATCCTTATATATAAAAGAAAGTTGTGTTAGTTACAGCGTTTTTATAACTAGAAAACTACTGAACCAATTGGCATGAAAATTTACAGGGATATTCCTTAGGTACTAGAATAACATAATAGCCTGTTTCCGTTTCAAAAACCCTTAAGGGAAGCGTCCTATGGCCCTTTGCAGTTTACATGTTAATCTTATGGAAGAATGTTTTATCTATATATTAATACGCAAGCAGGTTTCTTTTCACAGTCATAAGGGAACGTAGATGACCGCTTGCATCAACCTCTCAATTAAACATTTGACGGGTACATAGTGGTAGTACCACCGTTGTGATACATCCAATCTCGGACAAATTAACTTGAAATGTTTACATTGTAGTGGCTTACATTTATATAAAATGATAGTACTGTAATACATTAAGAGATCTTAATTTAAATAATCAATAAGCAGGATTGAGCTTTTGCCTATATGTTTCCTGGTAAGTGTGTTGTAACTGTTTCTCATAGTATATTATAAAATTATAGTATCTTAAAGTAAAACCGAATTATTCTTTTCTGCATTCTCACCCGTAGCGAAGCACGGGCAGAGCAACTGCTATTAAAATAAAGTTATTAACATTTTTGAAACACACAAAAAAGTTAAAAATCATGAATCAAAATTATTTACAGAAAATTGGTTAGAAAAGCCTGAATTCATAAAACTCACACATTAAAGATCTTTGTAAAAATCTTGTTAAACCATGTCAAATTATAAAAGTTACCCTTTTCAATAGGTTTACAACAGTCTTTCTGGAATGGAATCTACAGTCCAAGTATTGGCTTTACTTTGGCCTTTGGAAATTCATCCAAAGAATTGGTTGCGCTTAGTGGAATCTTTATGAGCATTGGTGCTGTATTGGGTGAGTAGACATTACAATTTGAAGGGTAAACCACATTGATTTGACTAACTTTGTCCTCCCTCACCATCACTGTAGTATCATACTGAAAGGCCACAAAGAGCTAAACTTACTACTGCTTACCTCCTTGTACCCATCAAGCTGGTACGTGGCCTCGCCAACACCTTGTCACCTAGTTCTCTTGGTCCTCCGAATCTTCCTCTACTTGTCCCATTTTTTCCATATCTTTCTGGGCTTGATTCCACCACCTGGCCTTCCTACTGGTTTCTTTCCCCTCGGATATCCCCTTTAGCGTTCTTCAACAAGCTTTCCTCATTTCTCCTCAAGATATGGCCAACCCACCTTAGCCTTCTGTTTTTGACCTCTACAACAATATCGGGGTCTCGGAATGATTCTCTTAACTCTTGGTTGTGGCGGATTCTCCATACTCCATCTTCACACACTGGACCATATATATATATATATCCTTTCTCACCGACAAAACAAACAAAAAAAGAAATTATCAGTTTGGTTCTTGCAACAGTAGAAATTAACTGTCTAAATTGGTATAGGCATAGACTAAGCAACACGATTTATCTATGGTATAGGCTACTCTGTTCTTGCATTTATTTCATATTATAATTTCATTTATTTCTTGATGTTGTTTTTTTAGGTACGGGTACAGTGTTGAAGATGATTTTCACATGAGGGAACCAGTTAGAATAATATTGATGAAGTAAAGAGAGCAGTATTAAGTGTTGGCCTTGGATTTGAACCAGCTTGCTTGGCCCCAACAGAGCTTGACGGAAACTTAATTCCATGTTTAGATTCATACGAATTTTTAGACTTAATAATATCTGACAAATACATAATTTTGTAAGCCTAACAAATCTTGAATTTACCTAAAAAATGTACATAAATTTTGCTCAACAATGAGTCATACATTATTTCCGTACAAGATTTTTTGCAGTGTTTTAAAATTGATAAAATAAGTTTTTCATTGATAAAATATAGTTAATTCTTGACTGTTTGCTCCCATCAGGTGGACTGTGTCAGATTCTGCTGTCGGATAGATTGGCTAAGTATTCTTGGGCTCGGAGGATGGTTGTGTTGTTTGGAGCGTTGGCTCAAGGAGTGACATATCTCATAACCTTCCTCAACCTCCCAGACATGGCTGTGTTTGGTGACACGGAAGACGTCAGCATTATTAACCCTCCAAGGTGAATGGATACAGTTAGACCTACCTGGGACACTTCTAGATAGCTTGATAATTAAGGCCAGTTTTCCTAGTTACTGGATTCAGATGTGTTTTTCATCACCAATTCAACACACAAGGGTCAAGCAGATATTTTCCTAGCTGCCAAATTCAACACTGTATCTCGCGGCGGACTGTAAAACAGGTGACTGCTCTATAACATCAGTTCTGCATCAACGAATTCGAGCTCCTCGAATATTGCATTTATTTCTTACTAAACTTTTAAAATTTAACAAAAAAACTTTTTTACCCTCCCTGCTGCAGCAAACCTAAGTGCTCGTTAAACTAATTATATTTAAATGGGGAAAATGTCATATTTTTAAGGAGAGATTTTAGTGTAAATCCAATCAGGCAAATGGAAATTTGTTTAGTCTGCAGGTTTGCTGCGGCGGGGGTATATTTATTTTCTACTGTTTTTAGCCAAATGTATTTTGACTAATACTTGCTTATCAACACGTTCGCTACCGAGAGTTGCATATATGCGACGACGCGATCAATGCCACGGAGACGAGGTATACAATTTAATCTTACACTTAGACCGGCTGTCACTTGGTTAACAGTAGACGCAGACTACGGGCGAAAACCTGTTAAACAGTGATCATTTACTTGTTAATACACTGCAATCATGTTTGAAATAATATTTTCTTGTTTTTTTTAATACTTTTGATAACCTTTTGTCATGTCGCATATTTGCGACAACTGGTCTATAGCAAAGACAATAGTGAAAATTATTACATTTTTTTTTAAATAGCCCAAACTTTGCATGTATGCAACAGTTTATTTTTGTTTATGTGTTGAGGTGAAAGTAATAAAAAAAAAACAGATTATTCAAGAACAGATTATTATAATTGAACAAATATAAAATCTACATAGGATAATGCAGCATACATACATACTTTGATGCAGCAAAGTAAAGAACAGTTTTTCCAACTATCATATGACGTCACCAATCATCATATCCACAGCCACAGGGACACAGTTGTGCGTCAGACATCCCCTGTAGACCACTGCAGAGAATTCAGTGCCTTCAAATAGACTGTTACAGAGATATACTCATTTTGATAACAATGGAACACTGACGCAAATATGCGTTGTCAGTCGATTTTAATGTGACTAGCCGTCACATTAAAACTGGTTCGCTACCGCATTATTAAAAAATTTTTCATTCATATAGACTAGCGACACACATATGCGACATATGTGTGTCGCTTCGCTGGTCTATATGAATGAAAAATTTTGTATTAATGCGGTAACGAACATGTTAATGATTAATAATTGAAAATGTCATATGGTTAAATAAAATAGAAGTTTTGTTTAGGTTCATTGAAGAATATGAGTTATTTTATCCTACTAATATTATAAATGAGAAAGTTTGGATGTATGGATGTATGGATGTATGGATGTATGGATGTATGGATGTATGGATGTATGTTTGTGACAAGTGAACGCGAAAAATAATGGTCGGATTGGGCTGAAATTTGGCATGATGATAGCTCACATTCCCGATTAACATATAGGCATATTCTTATTTCAAAAATCCTTTCAGGCTCCGCCCCAGTGGCTCTGGAGTTTCCCATGTTAACCTTATGAGAAATGGAATTAATGAATCTTAACAGCTGTTTCAATTAAACAAGTTGGTTCTGTTCTATGATGTTCAATAGCATTAAAGTTACAAGGATTACCAACAGGGTGCAGCACTATTATTTCTTTTACATTTATGACAACAGCTAATTTGCAACCAAAAGGTGAGTGAGCGTAGCGAACGAACTTCAACCTGAAGGCAAGTGAGCGCAGCGAACGAGCTCCAACCTAAAGGTGAGTGAGCGTAGCGAACAAACTTCAACCAGGACGTGATTGAGCCATGCGAACGAGATAATCTTGAAAATTAAGAAGTTAAACGGGGCAAAGCCCGCGGGTTACAGCTAGTTATCTATAAAATTTAACTATTAATTTTGAACAACCTGGCTGTTGTCAAATTTTAATTTAATTCTTAAGCCGTGTTTATAACGCAGTATTCAAGTGTTTAATCAAAAGTTAATAACAGTGCAAAGAAAAGTTTTATTTAATGTTTTGATCAGTTTTTCAATATTTACAATAAATCTTAACGGAGATTGTATCCAGACCCAATTTGAAGTGGGATATTCCTTTTCAAAACGTAAAAAAGATTTTTTTGCGTTGAAAACACATCAGTTCATCAGTTCACATCATAATTGAAGACGTTCACGTAAACTCTAGTTTATATGCTACACACTCCTAAGTATTGGACAAAACTGGTTATCTGCTGTATTTCTTGTGGACAAGTGTTGAAACATAATCACTTAACATATTGTTTCAGTGCTGCTCTTGCCTTACTGGGCAGTTTCCTGATCAACTTCGGAGATGCTTGTATATCCACCCAGATTTACACTTTTATCGGAGACCATTACAGAGACAACATAGCTGAGTCCGTAGCTCTGTATAAGTTTGTCAAGGTTCGTAGTAGAATTGAACAGGAAAAGCATCCAGCAGGCTAAAGGCCTTGCCACACCGCCGTCCGCAACGTTATGTCACGTTTCAGATTTTTTAGCCAATCGCTTAACGTTGTTTCAAATGGAGCAAGTCAAACCGCTGCAGACAGACTGCTAACTCAGCAGACATGTCTGCTGGATCACTCGCTGAGCGATCGGGAGTAGATGTAACGTTGCTTCTGTAGCCTTGCGCATGTGCACTGAGCTAACCTGCATCACCTGTTCATTCTCATATTGAAAGAATAAGTTTACCGAGACCATAATCAAAACTTGATGATGGTGTAAAAGATTGATTTAGTCTTTTCAAAATAGAAACTATATACAATAGGAATAGATATATTTATTTTATTTTATCAAAAGTCGAAACCTTCATAAAAAATCCTGGGAAAATTTCTAGGGACAATTTGTGATAAATTAAGGGCTGAAGCTGAGTCAAAATTGGGCCATGTGATGCGATGTTTGCAGATGTCTGTCACAGTGTGGTTTGGGCATCAGCAGCGCAACGTTACAAAACATGTAACGTTACAGTGCACAAGGTGGTGTGGCACCGCCTTTAATCCTCAATATTATAAGTAAAAACAAATTACTTCTATCCTATACTCTAATATGAGCATTGTTTGCTTGTATGTATGCATGTATGTATGTATGCTTGCTTGCTTGCAGAAAGATCTCGAAAACGGCTTCGACGATTTTCTTCAAATGTTGTAAATAGTTTATTTCTGGCCTAAAAACGAGTTTACTGTAGTTAGAACTGCCAACAAAAATCTAATTATGTAGAAAAATGAAACTAAAAGTCACATTTTTTAAAAATTAGTCTTATGGGTTGCTAAAGTTACCGTGTTGGTTGAATTAAATAGCAAGAAAAAAGTAATCAAACAAAAGACTTGTAAGTTGTAACATGTGTTCATAATTAATAAGCCATCTACCCACAGTATAATAGAAAATTACAAAATACAGTACAAAAGGAAAAACATCAGTTGTTACTCTTAAGCAAAGATTAAACTGAAGATTACTCGATACCTAGACATTCCATCCCCATGTTAAAGTTGTAGCCAGGTTTTTAATAAAATTTGTCTTAGTTGATGTTAGCCACCTACAAATTGCGCTGATCTAAATTACTGATTTCTGCCGATTACATGATGGCTTTTACCAGGTCAAACTGATGGAATGACTTATTATGAGCTATAGCAACTGTTGTGACCCAGCAACTATGTCAGTAACGAAAAATAAGGTACAAAATAGAGTTTTAGACACTAGCGCAATCTGTGACTGGCTCACACAACAACATTCTTTTTTAGTAAAAAATTGGCGACAGCTGATCCATATAGATGGGATGTCTTCTTCTGTATCCAATAGTCAATGTCAATGTGTGGAATCTGTTCATGATGATTAGATTATCTGCAACCCTAAAATGCTATGAGAAGGGAAGGAAACAGGTCCCCGACGTAGGAAGTGGTGAATGAAGTAGTAAAAGCCAGCTGTCCGGAGTGTGGGATCTGTTTATGACGATTAGATTAAGATATCTACAATCCTAAAATGATATGGTAAGGGAGAAAAACGGGTCCGTGACGTAGGAAGTGGTGAAGGAAGTAGTCAAGGCGAGCTATCCAGAGTGTGGGAACTGTTTATGACGAATACATTAAAGTATCTGCAAATGTGCAAATCCTACTAAAATGCTATGGGAAGGGAAGGAAACAGGTCTGCGTCGTAGGAAGTGGTGAAGGAAGTAGAAAAGGCGAGCTGTCCGGACTGTGGCATCTGTTTATGACCATTAGATTGAGGTATTTGCAATCCTAAAATGCAATGGAAAGGGAGGTAAACAGGTCCGCGACATAGGAAGTGGTGAAAGAAGAAGAAGTAGTAAAGGCGAGTAGTCCAGAGTGTGGGAACTGCTTATGACGATTAGATTAAGGTATCTGCAATCCTAAAATGCAATGGGAAGGGAGTTTAATAGGTCCGTGACGTAGGAAGTGGTGAAAGAAGTAGTAAAGGCGAGTAGTCCGGAGTGTGGGAACTGTTTATGACTATTAGATTAAGATATCTGCAATCCTAAAATGCAATGGGAAGGGAGGAAAACAGGTCCGTGACGTAGGAAGTGGTGAAGGAAGTAGTCAAGGCGAGCTTTTCGGAGTGTGGGAACTGTTTAATGATGATTAGATTAAGATATCTACGATCATAAACTGCTATTAGAAGGAAGGGAAACAGGTCCGCAACGTAGGAAGTGGTGAAGGAAGTATTAAAGGCGAGCAGTCCGGAGTGTGGGAACCAACTGTTTATGACAATTGGATTAAGGTATCTGCAATTCTAAAATGCTATGGGAAGGGAGGAAAACAGGTCTGCGACGTAGGAAGTGGTGAAGGAAGTAGTAAAGGCGAGCAGTTTGGTGTGTGGGAACTGTTATGACGATTAGAAAAAGGAATCTACAATCCTAAAATGCAATGGGAAGGAAGGGAAACAGGTCCGCGACGTAGGATGTGGTGAAGAAAGTAGTAAAGGCGAGCAGTACAGAGTGTGGGAACTGTTAATGACGATTAGATTAACGTATCTGCAATCCTAAAATGCTGTGGGAAGGGAGGGAAACAGGTCCGTGACGTAGGAAGTGGTGAAGGAAGTAGTCAATGCGAGCCGTCTGGAGTGTGATAATTGTTAATGACGATTAGATTAAGGTATCTACAATCCTAAAATACTATGGGAAAGGAGGTAAACAGGTCCGTGACGTAGGAAGTGGTGAAGAAAGTAGTAAAGGCGAGTAGTCCGGAGTGTGGGAACTGTTAATGACGATTAGATTAACGTATTTGCAATCCTAAAATGCCGTGGGAAGGGAGGGAAACAGGTCTGCGATGTAGGAAGTTGAAATGAAATAATATTTTATTTCCCATAAATGCATGTGTCCTCTGCACTCAATCCCACAAGCCCACTACTACATGCTTCTTAAATAGAGAGAGAGAGGGTGAATTTAAAATGTTGACATTTTCATATCTGTTACACATGTTACGATAAATGATTTGGGTTAAGTGAAAGCAATTGATGAAGGAAGTTCCAAGTTGTGAAGGAAGTAATAAAGGTGAGCAGTCCGGAGTGTGGGAACTGCTTATGATGATTAGATTAAGGTATCTGCAATCTTAAAATGCTATGGGAAGAGAGGGAAACAGGTCCGCGACATATGAAGAGGTGAAGGAAGTAGTAAAGGCTGGCATCGCAGAGGAGGAACCGTTTGTGGCAGTTAGATTAATGTATCTGTAATACTTAAATGCTATGAGAAGGGAAGGAAACATGTCCATGACGTTGGAAATGGTGAAGGAAGTAGTAAGGCTAACAGTGCAGAGTGTGGGAACTGTCTCTGGCAATTACATTAATGTATCTGCAATCATAAAATGCTATGGGAAGGGAGGGAAACGGGTCCACTACTTAGGGAGTGGTGAAGGAAGTAGTAAAGGCGAGCAGTGTGGAGTTTGGGAATGGATTAATGTATCTGCAATACTAAGACTGCTTTCAGAGTGAACTAATAATTTTGAGCAAGGGCATGACATAAGCAAGGATGTAAGACTCCACGACACACAACATTCTTGCCTTGGATTCGTAGTGGTCGTACTACCGACTCACCAAAGCAACTTATATTAAACTAGAGCATTTTCATTTAAATTGGCAAGTGAAGGGGTGAGTGGATGAAGGGGGTATGTAACATTTCGTTACTTTTGAGATAAATGGACCAAAAGTTTGCAGGTTATCACTTTTTAATTTTTTTTTTTCATCCATGCATCCACTCAACCCTTCAAGTGTAGAAGTAATGTAGATGCTCGTTCAACAATGTTTTCTTAGAGTAAATTGGCTACATCTGATCCATATAGGATATTTAGATGTTTAGATAGGATAGATAGATAACGTTTACTTCAGTATCCAAGTTAATGGTGTGATGCAGGTTATATTCCATCAAATCTGTTATTGATGCTTACAGAGTGTATTGGTAGCAGCAAGTTTCTACTGGTGCAGTCATGTTGGTCTACACACTCAAGTCGCGGTGACTGCTACAGTCGCTGTGTTCGGAGTTCTGGCGTTCTTTGTGGCAGACAGAGATGCTTCACAGCCGCTTGTTCAATTGGAAGTGAAAAATGTGTCAAATATGACAAATGTCAATTCTAGTCCTGAGGCAATAAATAAAAAATGTGATAGTTAAGGTTTTTACATTTTTCTCTAATTATCTATATACTCACTCACTGATCAGGTACGGTATACAAATGTTTGCCTACTTCTAGAATAGCTACGAGGTTGAAACTTGGCACGATTTTAGGTATCGGTCTAAAACCACCAGGAAAATTGCATTTTTATTATTTTAAATATTTTCAAAGTTACATTTTTTGAGAAAAAACTGTTTCAAGAAACATGCTTGCCTATTAATACATAGTATTATACAGTAGGTAACTGAAATTCTTAGGTTAAAAATAAACACAGATGTGAGTAGAATCACGGCCACCTTTAACTCCATTCTGATTTTGCGGCCTTCAAGTGGCAATGTCCCAAGTAGTGTTCTAACAGCTGTTTTGTTTGGACGCAGCTAATGCAATGGTATATGTGTATTTCTTAAGAATACGAAAGCTTGGTTACTGGAGCTATGAAAATATTGACTCCACTTTAAATCTACAGAAATAGATTTTCAATTTATATTTGTTTTGGTTTTCTATTCTATATGTTTTATTTTCAATCTTTTAATAAATATATGTTCATAATTTTCATAAATATACATTTAAATAATTAATACGTGAATTAATGAGCTGGTGTCACCTGTCTGTCATGTTATCTTATACGACTAGTGCTAAACAGCACTTCTTGCAACGTTGCCAATTCTACCAGGCCCTGAGGCCTGGAGAAAGGTGGCCGTAGTAGAATACTACCATAGATAAAACATACTCCCTTATAGTTGGTTAGTTTATGATACTACAAACTCAAATAACACATATTTACAGATGCATAATTTAAAATTATAATTTGAAATAAATACGGAACTAGCTGTTTTCCCTGCTCTTCGCTTGGGTAAGCTTTTAAAATGTAATCTAATTTAGATTACATAAAGGAAAACAGTAAAATGCCGTACTTTGGTCAGTGGTTGTGTCCATAGCCTATTGTATAATTTGATTGATGGGTTTTCCTTTGTACTATATTTAGATTGTATATTCGTAATTTCCCTATAGGGAAGTAGCTATTATTGTAGGTGGCACGGTAAGACTCAAGCCTGGGACCGATTTACTTTTTCATTCTGATATCCCCAGAGGCCAAAAACACCATTCATTCAAATTGTTATATATATATATAGGGGTGGCTCCAGAGCGTAGCAAAATTTTGGTAGATATTTGAAAATTATAAATAAATAAAGAAATTTTAATTATATGTACCGTAAATAAAGGGATAGCATCAAACCTCATTATTTTGCATTTAAATTTTAAAATCCCCCTGTTTGCTCCACAAAGCCCATCAAATCTCTTGTCCCTAATCAAATTCCTTCTTGATCCTTGTCAGGCCTACCCAAAAAAATATTCCTGGAGCCGCCCCTGTATATATATACTAGCGGAGCACCCGTCCTTCGTACGGGGTTGGCATATAAGTATAAAATGCTTATTGCAGTTATACTCAAGCTTTGCGTTTGCAATGGGGGAGGACACAGTTTGATAAAATTTGGTTCGTAAATTTACGGTATGATATAGTGTATCACATCTACTATTTTCATAATGTTCTACCTACTACTGCACCTTAACAACAGAAAAAAATAAATTATCAAACATTCGCACAATATCACAAATTATTCATTAAATTAAAATCTCAAACCTAACTATAAACAATCCTACCTTGACAGTTCTCATTTTGTATCACAGCGTTTTGTTGCTGCTTAGTTCAAATTAACTGTTATCATATAATATGCAAAAACAAAATAATAATAGTGCAGCACCCTGTTGGGAAACCTTATAACTTTTTAATTGTATTGCATATTATAGAACCAACTTGTAAAGTTGAAACAGCTGACTAAATTCTTTAACTCCCTTTAAATATGAATACTCATAAGGTTAACATGGGGAACTATAGAGCCACTGGGGCGGAGCCCGAAAGGATTTTTGAGATAAGAATATGCCTTAATGTTAATCGGGAATGTGAGCTATCATCATGCCAAATTTCAGCCCAATCCGTCCAGTAGTTTATGCGTGATTGAGCAACACATACACAAACACACACACAAACTAACTCACAAACTTTCAGATTTGTATAATATTAGTAAGATAAGATAAGATATAAATCTATAACAGTATATATTTTTGTACGGTTATTGGTCCCTAGAGGCCAAAAACACTATCCGTTCAAACTCATATATACAGGGTGACACAAAGGAACCGGGCGTTTTTTAAATAAGTAGTATACAGTAGTTAAAAGGAATAAAATGGTTTTAATACCGTACATAGTGAGGTAAACATTTGCCATTTGTTACAAAACAGTCATTTTTTTTAAATGACGTCATGCTTATGGCGGCCATGTACTTATCTACAAATGTTCATTCTGGTCTGAAAATCATCTGAAACTCGGGTCAGGAGGTCTTGTTCAATGCCATTGATATCTTCTGTGATTGCAAACTTCAAATCCTCTAAAGTGCGTAGTTTGTGAGCATGAACACGCTCCTTAAGAAACCTCCAAAGGATATAACCACGAGTGTACAATCCACCTACCTTAGCGTATGGTGATCTTAGCGGCTACGGTATGTCACCAAAGCGAGATCACCTTGTTAGGAAACATTCATTCAATGCTGCTCTCACTCTGGCAATGTTTTCGGGTGTTCTTGAAGTTCTAACAAGGCCTGGTGGTTTCTTTCTTGTTATATTCCCAGTTGTTCAGAACCCTGAAACCCATATTATTAACGTGTTCCGCTATTAAGCTGGGAACCGTTCATGGCTTGGAACCGTTCCATGGCGTTCAATATTAAAATGTCGACTAAATTCCCGCTGGATTTGACGACGGATTCACCATTTCGGACCAAAGTATCGTATGCGAAAACGCGGTGGTCTAGGGTCCACTTAGCCATTTCAACAAAAATGGCAAGCCTCACTGAAGGTAATGTCATAACTTCAATTTTCCTACCAAGTGCGACAACAAATGGAACAGCTGTTTAAAAAACGTCCGGTTCCTTTGTGTCACCCTGTATATATGTCCGTTTAGCACAATAACTTGAGCAAAAATGATCCGATTTTGATGAAATTTGGTATAAACGTGTAAACCTACATTTATTCGAACGAGTTCGTGAACCAGCATGATCAGACTATGGAAACGGGGGCTTATAGGGGGTTTTATAGGGTAAAAATTCGTTTTTCCCATTTTTGAACCAAAAAACATAAAATATAGCTATTTATTTCCAAACCATTTTGTAGAGCTTAAAAAACAAATAATTTAGTATATTGAAGTTATACTATGTGCCTAAATGGTTACGGAGACAAATTCCAGAAAATTGTAAGTTAAAAATTCCCATGATATTCTTATGGAGAATAAGTAAACTGTTGTAGTTTGATTGTTTATGAACATATTTTGATCAAATTTGGAAAATGTTTTTATTTCTTGTTAACTATTAAGAAAAAAAAACTTTTACCCTCCCTGTTGCAGCAAACCTAAGTACTCGTTAAACTAATTCTATTTAAATAGGGATAAATGTGATACTTTTAAGGTAACATTTTAGTGTAAATCCAATCAGACAAATGGAAATTCGCTTAATCTGCAGGTTTGCTGCGGTGGGGGTATTTCCTTATTATTTTGTCCAGCTAAAATAGTTACTTGGCCAATGTTAATTTTTTAAATTTTCAAATAAGTTGTGTAGCAAAATCCAAATTTTCCTGAGGTAGTGCCTGACAATCATGTTTTTTGGGCTATAAGTCCCTAATCCCAAAATTAAGTCTAAATTCTTCTGGATTTTGAGATTACAGACACAGATAGACAGACAGACAGGCAACCATACATACAACAAATATACATAGGTAGCTCATATTAGTTAGAGTATAGGATAGGATTGTTAGCTCCTACCGCAACAGTACTCAAAAAAATGTTCCCAAATCTAGAGCCTTATTGTGGTCTTTTGCAACCTAATAGTGAATTTAAATTAATCTAAAATTATGGTATTTAGAAAAGGAGGGAGGTTACCTAACAGAGACAAGTGGTTTTATAAAGGAAAGCTTATAGTGGTTATAAATCAATATAGGTAGCTGGGAATATCATTTAACCCTTCCCGGACGGGCTGAATCAAGACATAGGACGGCAAAAAATTAGAGGAAAAAATAAAAATTAAAGTTAAAAAAATAAAAAGTTGTGAAAAGTCATTTGAGGGAAAAATTTGTAGCTGCAAATTCACCATGAATTAATTGTGGAGATTTATTCAACAATGGGAATGTTTTGAGCTCCAAGGTTTTTTTTTTAGGCAATGTTAAATAATGTTTATTTTCGGGACAGTTACTTCATTCGTTTATGTTTATGATCCATACCGTGTCTGTTCAAGCACCGTATTCGTGGTAAAAACATAATCTTTACCACGTGGGATCAGCTGATAAGAGTTGTAAAGTCGTTAGGGCGAACAAAAGCAGACCTGGTTTAAAGCCGCGATAGAATGTCGTTATCACCACATTTATTATATAGATCACTTGACTTTGATCTCTGCCATCGGTCTTATCTTTCAGATAATATTGGTATGAATTTAAAGCATTGGATTTTCAAGGAAAGCTGTGACAATACATCTATATTAGAAGCCTTCGATTGTAGAGCAAAATTTCCATTCCAAGTCAAGTTTATAGGGGAGATGTCACGGAATTCAGCTTCTGTATTACGACCGTGTTAGTTGTTGTGAATTTCCAATAACTTAATCAGGAAAGAACTAAATTAAATAAGACTTTATTTAAGTCTTTTGTAAGATGTCAAAAACAATAACAATATTTGTTTATATCTCATAATAATATCCTAAATAAAACACATTTTTTATTTGCAGTCTTTATGAAACATCCCCCTCCTTAAAGATCGAGTCTCCTTAGAGGATGTACTTCACGCCCGTGTCTAGTCTTGTAACTTGAGTTGTCCTCACTTGGACTTCTGGACTTCTGGTACAGACACACACTTGTTGAATTTTGTTCTGTCACATTGTCTGGTGAGGGTATACTTTTTAAGACATCGGGAAATGGTAGAAGATGGAAACGGTTTCTTCTTAGGTCTCTTGTATCAGTCCTGAAAATCTATTATGATTGTGGCTCAGTTGCTGTTTTTACAACTGTTCCAGGTTTTCCAAAGTCAGATATCCAAACGCT